TTTATATGAAAATTAATAAAGTTCATCGGACAGTGTCTCATTATTCTAGGTCATAAAATGACTCAAGGATTACTAGAGTACATTCAAGATTACGACAAATTCTTTTTGTACACATAATGAGGGTTTAAATTAGGATTGGTGACTGGGTTTGTTTATCGATAACATTTTACAAATATATTAAGAATGACCTTTTCTAATTCCTTTATTATGTTTATGAGAACGCTTATTGATGCAAATTTTGGTTATCTGAGGAGAAAATGCATTATTGCTGTTATACCGCTGTGCAGTCAGCAGTACAGCTTTGTACTCGGACCATGAGTATGGCACTTTTAGTCGTGTACGGTACAATGTCTATTTTTATTTATTTAAACACATAAACATTGGTAGAGGTAGGCAGCAAACAGATATGCGCCACATAAATCACTCCATTTCTGTGAAGGCTGGGACACTGACCGGGTGCCCAAAACGAACTATTTGATTTTCTTTGGGGGAGCACACCCGGAGACTTTGACCTAAAAGTCTGACCTACAAGGCAGTGGAGCAACGTTAGGAGATGCAGTCCCATGGTAGCCAGTCACCAACAATAGGTTCACATGCAATTTGTTCCTTCAGGATACTGGACAGCCCACGTGCATCATTGGTTTGGAATCATGGTTTTCCGACTCCCCTAGGTGGACTCTCCGTGTCCACTAACCCGGTTAAAGCGCCGGACACTCGTTTTCATCCTCTCAATTTTGTAAACAACAATAATGCCACGAGAAGGCAGTGAGTACGACTTCCTCAACAGTGGTTGTATGCACGTAGCCATGTGAGAGCATTTCGAGAGGGAGAGCTGACTCTCCTCACTCTCAGCCGTACCAGGGCATTTGGGGGACCTAAAGAGACAAGTGCAGCAGTCAACACAGCTCAGTTAAATCATTATGATATCTATTCACGATCAACACATCAAGGTATTAGCTATAGTACGTTAGTGGAATCTAGTGTCTAGAGTTCATTCTGTTTAAAACCTATTCACTGTATGTACCTGGAAACCAGTGTAGTTGTGCCAACACTAACACGTTTCACTACATTCCACTATCGTAAAAACGTAATCAACACTTAAAAAAACAACAACTAAAAACTCACTCTTTCCATTGTGGTGTATTAACAAGTTGATTAATTGTCTCCGGTGAACAATACTTTAAACAAACTTTTAATAATTCTTCAAATTCATTAGATACATTGAAAAATTGTAAACGTCTACCATTTATTGTAGGTAAGGTTTTAGTGGATTGATTATGTGTAATCATTTTAGATATTTGATAAATAGAATGATGATGATGATGATGATGATGATCATCATCATCATCATCATAATGCTGCTGCTGATGATGATTAATGTCAACATCATCCCCATTGTTATTATCATTAAACATTTGACCATTTAATATACTTAAAATATGATGTAATTGTGCACTAATTTCATGACAAGCATCTGATGATGGCATAGATTTTAAGACACGTGAATTAATTTGATCTATTTTGAATAGAAATAAAAGTTCAAATAAAGAAAATTAGAATAAACTTAATTCATCTACAAAATCTATGAAAATTAGTTGCATAAGCGATGCCGATCGACAAGTTTTCAGTCGATCTGGGACAGTGTTTTGCGCACTAGAATTGTTGGTTATGGTGATATTTGAGGAGGAAGCCAAAAGAGAAAGTTTAGAGTTGAAAGTCGATGTAGGAGGAATAATAGGAATTGAAGAGGGAAGTTGATTATGAATACAGTGGTCTTGAGTGCTGTTAGAGATATGAGGGCGATTATCACTTCCCGGTTGCCCACACTGTGAAAGAGTTTTTCTAGAAGTATCTGAAAGGGAAATTGGTTTAGGGGTAGTCTTAGTGACCTGAGAGCGTGACCGTAGTGCCCAAGGGACAACTGCTTGAGGTCGGTCACACACGACCTTTTTATGAGTAATTTTCGTGTTATATCCGAACGATAAATAAATGAATGGTGACTTCCAGGAATTATTTATGACCTATTATTACATATTTTCTTACTGGATAATTATTAAGTAGCGATATTATGTATATATATATATATACCTCTTATTTGACTTATTGGCTATGTAGATACGATTTACCATTCTTAACTTCCAATTTATTAGGTACAGTTTCCCACACTCACAGCTACTTTCGGCTTGACCTTGTATAATTATTATTTTTCATTTTATGATGTGACGCGATTTGATCTGCTTATATATCTGAAATATACGATTCATACAGTGGATGCTCAGATTGCGTTCTAAACTCAACGAGCAGGGCTAGGTGAGGACCAATAAGGAATCAAAGTTGACCCAAGGTTCTTAGTTCTGATTGACGTGTCATTGGTTTAGCACGATAACAAGGTCATATAAGTCGGTATTCTGATTGTCAATTTTGTCTCGTAATGATGACAGGAGCAAAAGCCATATCAACAATCGCCAATACACTCCCATTATCTCTGATACACTCTACCGCGTTTTTAGTAGTTCCTTAATAAAACATGACGACAATTACCTTCCAGGAAAATTCCTCAAAGTGATTTAAACAATAAATAGCTTATAAGCAGAGATGGATAGTGGATAGCAGTAGAATTCAGGACGCGCGTTTCGTCCCACTCGGGACTGGGTGTACCTGCATCTCACAGTTGATGTTCACTCAAAGACTCGAACCCAGTACCATTCGCTTCAAACACCATCACATTATCCACTAAGCTACTGAGTCCTGATAGCCACCTGATTGTGCAATGAGGTGAAGTCTTAAATTCACTTGGTGTTGTTTTACTTGTATCTTCGCATTGTTGTCTAGGACTGCAATTGATCAATCTCTTAATAGCATATAGGCATCCTGTGCATAATGAAACGAACGGTACGGAGTTCGAGTCCCAGATATTGCCTTAGGTCAAAAGCTTTATAAACAAAGATGAATAGTGGTTACAATAATTTGATAGTTTGATAATTACTTACACATTAACAATAAAATTGTTAAAGGTTCAATAGATTTAACTGATTTCATGTATTGCATAAATGGATAAAGTTCATCTTGTTGGTTTAATAACTTCTCAATATGTATAACTGTTGATTGCTAAAAATGAAAAAGCAAATTACATCACTGTTCGTTCCATCTAAAAAACAATGTAGCTTGATGTAATTAATACAGTGCTTCGAACTATGCTGTTTGTATAAGGGCTAAAAACCTCAGTGTAAAGGATAGGCGTAAAGCTGTGACTAGCTTACATTGAATTGAATGGAAATAGATTAGAGTATCAAACACGTTGTACTTAATTCAATCTGGACAACATCGATACAATATTAGGTAATATTTACAAATGTAATTATTAATAGAATTAAGAATATATCTCTCTATATGAAACTCTTCAGTTGGATATACCTAGATCAAACTATGAGTGATCATACCAAAACTCGAAATCAGTACACTTTAAATTCACTTGTTGTTGCTTTACATGTATCTTCCCATCCTTATTTAGGACTGTGATTGATCAGTCTCATGTTGGCGTATGTGCATCCTGTGCGGATTGCCTCGATATAGTTTTGAGTCACTAGCTTTTTAAGCAAAGATGGATAGTGGCTAACAGTGGAATCTAGGATGCACATTTCGTCTTATTTGGGACTCTTCAGCTGGATGTACCTACATCCCAGAGTTGATGTTCACTCCGGGACTCAGTAGCTAAGTGGATAACCCAATGGTGTTTGAAGCGAACGGTACTGGGATCGAGTCCCGGAGTGAATATCAACTCTGAGATGCGAGTACATCCAGTTGATGAGTCCCAAATAGGACGAATTGCGCGTCCTAGATTCCACTGCTAGCCATTATTCATCTTTCTCAGTACACTTTGCTTCAAAAGATAACATGTCACCAACTGAGCTACTAATTTCAGATAAACATTAATTAGTTCAACGAATTTAAAGGTGTTTGTATCTACATATCAAATATTACTTAAACGTTTGGGATGAAATGCTATCATTAAAGCAATCCTCTAAGAATGCACATATAACAACAGGAATTGATCAATTATTATTGTTTTGAATATCAATAACGCAATACTACAATAACTCCTCCTCTCACTGACGAAAAAAAAAGAAAATATACACTTTGACAATAACCATAATAATATGCATACCTTTTTAGATAGCCATCTCTCCCAGTCGTGAATATATGTTTCCAGTAATGGGACATGTTGACAATCATGTTTTATTAATGGTTCAACAGGCTAAAATGGATTAAACATGCATAGTCTCATGCTTATTAGTTACATATACATGTATATTTGAAATAGAATTAAAAGCCAAAATGAAACTACACGGTAACTAAATGATGAGTTATAAATAAATTAATATATTTATAAGCAAAGATGAATAGTGGTTAGCAGTGGAATCCACGACGCGTGTTTTGTCCTATTTCGAACTCGTCAGCTGGATGTATCTTCATCTCCGATTTCATGTTCACGCGATGGCGATTGAATGTCCGGTATACGCCTGACCATGTGAGAGCATTACGAGAGGGGATTTGACTGTCCCTACCCTTGGCCATACCACGGCATTTGGGGTTATACAGCTATTTCCCGGTGTCAAATGTTTGTAAAGAATGAAATTTTCAACAGAAAAAACACCTATAACACTCTGGAATCTTGAACCGAACACAAAACATTGTGATATAATTAAGGCTTCACTTGAAGACTAGCTTAGATAAGAAAATTAAAGATGACGATTGCAAGAAATTTTGAATGTCTACAAACTTCTAGTAAGAGGATTTTGAAATTTTGTCAGTGTCGTTATTCAGATCGGTTTTGTAAGAGTCTTCATAGGTTAATTGTTAAGAGTTGTCGATAATTCCTTAAAAAAGGAAATACTTCTACCGATCAACAATTGTGTAAACTTCGGGAAAACAATCGATTATGCTTTCATTATCCTGACTGAACATTTAATGAATCTGTCAAAATTTTTTAGCATATTCTCCAGAGGTTTATAGAATATCAAGACAATAGATAATCACAAAGATATCTTTGTTCGCCAAACATAAAAGAACCTTCTAAGTAAAGCTTCTTCTATAATTCCAACCCTCATATCTTAAGGTTAAAGAGTAGTAAACTTCAGCGGACTAGAAACCAGATTAAGTCGATGTCCATGAACATGTTCAGAAAATACAAATGTTGAAAATCCTTGCAGAATACGTTATCCTAAAAGTCCCGCCTTTTTTTTCATCTCATATTAGTGGTATGAATTATTAACATTCAAGTGTTGCCATTCTAAAGAGTTGCAGATAGAAATTATTCGTATTAGAATAATCTTGATCGCCAAGTTATTGCCTAACTACCATCGGCCAGTCAGAAAGAGCGTGTGTTCGAATTTCACCTCAATCACAACCTTTACCCCCAAATGCCTTGGTACGGCCAAGAGCGGGGAGAGTCAGCTCTTCCTCTCCAAATGCTCACACATGGCCACGTCCATACAACCACTGTTGAAAAAGTCCTATTCACTGCCTTTTTGTACCACGGGTGTTGTTTACGAAATTGAGAGGATGAAAAGCGAATGTCCGGCGCTTTAACCGGGTTAGTAGACACAGAGGATTCACCTAGGGGAGTTGGGAAACCCTGATTCCAAACCAATGGTGCATATGGGATCCAGGATCCGAAGGAAACAAATGGCATATGGACCGATTGTTGGTCACCGGCCACCATGGGAATGCACCTCCTAAAGTTGCTCCACTGCCTTGTGGATTAGCCCTTAGGTCAAAGGCTCGGGATGTGGTCCCCTAAGAAAACCACCTGCTTCGGTTTGAACACTCGGGTAGTATCTCAGCCCTCATACAAATCGAATGATTTGTGTGGCGCATATTTGTTTGGTGCCTTCTTGTACCAATGTTTATGTGTTTAAATAAATAAAATAAGATAGAACTTATTCGTATTAGAATAATGTCGATAGTTACGTTACGTTATAGCCTAACTATCATCGACCTGTACAGAATTTAACATCAATATACAATTACTTACGTACTTACTTACTTACGCCTGTTACTCCTAATGGAGCATAGGCCGCCGACCAGATCAATATACAATAAAGTCATGTTATTATTTACTAAAATAGACCATGATAAACTTACTGTACATTCAGGAAAACATAGTAGAATCAAATGATTGACAAAATCCTTCAAATATTCATCCGATAATTTGGAAGTGTGCAACAAGAAGGAGGAGGAGAGAAAGAGTACGGGATGGGGAAAAAATCAATAACGTAAATTTTTTGTTAACTACAGAATGAGAGTTTAAACAATAAAAATAAAATGACCTTAGAAACTATTAACAAGATCCATTGATTGATAAGATTATGCATAATTCAAGATGACAATAGAAGATTATTTATCCATACATATAGAACATGGATTTTATTTTCATTCTGTCAAATTTATTCTACTATCATTACATATTATTATAATTCATACTAATCTAATATACTCACTGTGTTGATAGGATGTGACAATATGAATTAGGTTCTAAGTTGTTTAATCACTAACTGACTAATGTTTATTCTGTGTATACATTTCAACTCTAAACTCATCCAATAGCTCAACTCTATTGAAACTTTAAAAATAAGGGATAGAAATTTCAACTGAGATAAGCTGTTGTATGAGTTGGAGAATAAAATTAAACCAAGAATGAAAACAAACCAGAATAGAAAGTTGAAATAGAGTAAAATAATTTAAAGCAATTAGTCCCTTTGATAAATTCCGATAGTGCAATATAAGAAAATGAAGATTATCAGAACTATTTGATGGTATATTAGTGTAATACATTTCGAACAATCTGATCACAGTGGACCAAGTTACAATGGGGTACCAGATACATATGCGCCACACAAATCTCAATAGAGCCCCAAATGCCCTAGTACGGCCGAGAGTCGGGAAAGTTAGCTTTCTCTCTCTCCAAACACTCTGAAGTGGCCACGCGTATATAGCTTCTGTCAGGGAAGTCCTACTCATTGCCTTCTCAGTCAGTCAGTCAGTCAGGTACAACGTAGGACCACGCACATGTGCATCGGTCCAGGTTGCCATACCGCATCAGCATAAAAAGATGAACACCGGATTCATAGCAGTGGTTAGGTCAAAGGTAGTAATATATAAGAGAAAGATTGCATATAGAGATAAAGTCATTGCCTTCTCACGGCAGGCGGCGTTGTTTACGAAATTTAGAGGACAAAAACGAATGTCCCGAGATTTAACCAGGTTGGTGGATATGCAGGATCCATCTAGGGGAGTTGGGAAACCTTCATTTCAAACCAACAGTGCACACGGGCTCCGGTATCCTGAAGGAACAAACGGCGTGTGAACCAATCGTTGGTCACCGGCTACCATGGGACTGCATCTTCTCATGATGCTCCAGTGCCTTGTGGATCAGACCTTTAGGTCGAAGGTCCCGACTGTGGAACCCCAAGAAACCACATAGTTCGGTTTGGGCACCCGGTCAGTATCACAGCCCTTACAAAAATCAAATGAGATTTGTGTGGTGCATATGTATCTGATGCCACCTTGTACCAATATCTATGTGTTCAAATGGAAAAATAAATAAATAAGGACCAGTGGAGTTCAACCAGGTCTGTTGTGAGATAATAACTCATTGAAGACAATGGTGGATGTGTCGCTCAATTTCGTGGATTAATTGGAGTTAGACATTAACACCGAGCTCAGTGGTCTAGAGATTAAGCGTTCGTGCGCGAGACCGATAAGCCCTGGGTTCGAATCTCGCGAGGCGGGATCGTAGATACACAATACTGAGGAGTCCCACAATAAGACGAAACGGCCATCTAGTACTTTCAGGTTCTCCATGCTGATCTAGCTTCAATTGACTCATGATCTCAACTATTAAAAAACATATATACTTTTAAGAACATTTATATATAAAAACTAAAAAGTCAACTAGACTAGAAATGGAGGATAAGAGAAGGCAAGGATAATAACGAAAATGATGTTGTGAAAACAATTTGAAACCTCATCGCTTCTGGATAATAAACTGATATTACCAGGGGGGCGTTGAATTTTCGTATGGCTAAGTCTTCAATAAACCTTAGTATACGCCCTTTTACATTTTTATACAATACCACAAAAGGCGAGTAGTTAAGATCAATCTTATGACCTATTTCAATTGTGTTTGCTAATACAGGATAATGGATATTTATCCTCTACTCTGATTGGGGTATTTGGTAAAAAACCGAATTGATACAACTACTTCTTAGC